TTGATTACAGTGCTTAATGTTTGGGGTGATGAATGCAAACAGCAAAGTGATAGTTTAAACTGACAAAGTATGCAGTTATATCTCAGATTTTGATCTGCAAATCGTCCATAAATTTTTCGATATAATACTTGATTGCTTTAGAAAATCCTACGTCATGGACTGTTTCAAAATGCACCGTTCGTGTTCTACGTGAACCAATCAGTGAGTCCATTAGAGAGTACATATGGTCTGCGGATTTGCTTGTTCAATAGCAGCATCATCAAATCACCATTTGAAATGAATTGGGATTCCGAGAGAAGTAGCGGTGATGAGAGCGAGCATCAGAACAGTGGTGTTCAGGTTTGTTTTTCGAATCATTTCCAGAAATTTTTACTTTCCAGGAACACCTTTTGAAGATATTCGAATGCATTCACTTGGAGGTCTTTCTGATACAGCGTGAGGAATTCGCAAACTGATATTATCGCAGAAAATCGTAAAGATATTTTTTATTTATGGCGTGATGAGTTTGTTTTGTCATAATTATGAGATTTTTGAGGTGTCAAAATTTCAGGTTTTGCAACTTAGTCCAGTGCATTTCGTCGCAGGACTCGTTCAACCTGCAGTAGTTACCGACAGTAGACATTTAACGCGACTATTTTCAATCATCGGACCGTTGATAATGATCGTTATTTTGGTAAATGAACATTCCGTTGTTGTACACCGCAATTACAGCAGTACTTTTCACCTCGGGTCTCCGATGATCAACCACTTGGGCCCTTATGCCCTCACGCCAATTAAGAACTTGAGATCGATGCAGTTTGCTCATTTTAAGTTCTTGAGAACTTTCAAAGACTTTTCTGATTACTGAACAAAACAAAAGGACCTAAATTTGATCGGCACTTGAGAACGATAACTATTTCATTGTATAGCGCAATCTGAATCGGGAAATCATTTATCTATTAAAATAGAAGTGGGACGGTCGAATGCTTCATAAAATTTTCAGATCATACTGATACTCGCCTTCTTCTACCTGAACTACTCACGAATCAAGCAGTTCTACTCACGTCGAAAGACGCACTACTTCCATCCATATCTGATAAACACAAACGGGTCAACAATCCGACCGTATATTACAAGAAGTCCAGACGTTTCACCGCAAACTTATTTCCTTACTAAACCGTCGTACTGAAATGTGTTCACATGCTTTCAGGAGATTTTACGCAGTCGTAATTTATTTCAGAAGTTGATTTGACGTTGTAGAAATTGTCGAAGATATAAACAATTCTCAGCACTAAATCTAATCCGAATCAACAGTCTAAATTCATACCACTGACTATTTTATTGTTGCGATGTTATCATATCTCCGTTTACTTATATTATTGCTGTGTTGTGATATTGATAGCTTTAAATTATTTCCGAGTATTTTTTGTAAATAAAGTAATAATTTCGTATGATTCGTTGCATCACGATCAATCCGTTTCATTCGACAGGAACACCGTGATCTTGTCCCCAATTTCTATTTATGTCTTATTCTTTTTTTGTTGTTGTATCTGTTGAATTTGAGAGATTTGATCGAATAGATTGAGTAATTGACTTCCGAAGTAAGCAGGTATTGTGAGCTGTTGTTAAAGTAGAGAAACGATGTGCCACTGAATCAACTGAATGAAAATTGATGCATCGAAAGTTAATTTCAGGATTGTTAAGCAATACATTTATTTGACTTTGACCACCACTCAGAGTAAACACTTTAACATTACCAAATAAAACATGCGTACAAACAGATACAAATGCAAGCAGCAGCAGCACATACAACAAGAACACACAAACAAATTATGTAAAACATCTTCAAAAAACAAGACAATTCAATCGAAATACATTTGTGTCGTTATGAGCGTTTGCTCATTAGACACATCCCATATCCATTCGTCGTTGAAATGCATTCTCTCTTTGCTTTATGCAAATATATA